CATGTTGCCTATGATATGCGGGCCCCTTCCCCGTCTCGGACAACACCTTCTCCTTCTCCTTCTTCCCCGCAGCGTCGGCCCCCTGGTTCGCGGGCACCTGGCTATAAAGCGAGTACGTATTAATAGCGATGATGTCATGATTATCGCTCAGTTCGCCCGTTTCGGCGGAGAGGCCTAGGTAGGCAACTGTGGGGATATTGATGGGTTGTTCGTCGGAGGCTTTGATCGTGAAGCAGGGGGTCCAGGAGTAGTCGGATTTGTATTGGAGTTCGAGGGAGAGGAAACTGTCTTGGAAGTAGGTTAAGCGGGCTTTGGTGGGGATTGAGGCGCCACGGAGGCCTCGGGCCTGGTTTTGATTCATTAGCTTTAAAAGGGGGAACAAAAGTGGTAGCGAAAAGCAAAAGATGGGGTTAGAGGTCTGATACTTCATACCGAGCAACCGGCAAGTTCATTTGCCTTCCCGTCATGAGCCTGATCATATGCCGTATTCCCATCACCCATCATGGCCATAACATACGGGAACGTCACAGACGCCCGGTTATTCTTATACGTGTCGAAAAAGATGCCCAGACCCTCGAATTTATCCGTGGATCCGAAGACAGGACCTTTCGTCGCGCGTTGCTTAGTGAGCCATAGCGCCATGCCATCTCCATGAAGGTTTCCTTCGCCATGGATACTGAATTCGAGTTCGATCTATAAAAGTGAAGCAGTTTAGTTTCCGCCCGAGTTCACTTTCGTCCAATTTACGAGAGAGGAAGTAACTACCAACCTGCCAATTAGTTGCCGTTAGGGGTACGCGCGAAAATAGCCAACCTTGCCGCGATTGGAGAGCTGGGGTGAGGCGGATGTATCTAATTTCCCAATCGACAAGAGTAAGTGGATCTATTGGCTTCTTCTAGGCTGCGGAAATGACACTATTGTCATGGATGGAAAGAAAATTGGAACACTGAGTGGAATAGGAGGGTCCGGAGACATACTGATCAGCGCGAACAACAGTATCACCTCCAAAATCGAACCAACGATTATCCGAATCGGAATCTAAGTATGGCTGCAGAACGGGTGCATATGTCAATTGGAGCTCAATCTAAGATTGCTCCTCTGGATTTCCCTTTGTTTCTTTCCAACGCACCTGAGTAAGAGTGTATGCTTTCATCTAGATATGCAGGGAGGGCATAAGGATCAGTAAGAGTTTCGAGCGGATATAAGAACCAGAATAAGGAAAAGACACAACACATACAGGAACTCGTTTAACATCAGGATGATTTTCGAAGTCATTAGGATCTTCGGAGGTGTGGGCCAAACCCAGGCCTAGCCCTAGCATCCATAGCCAGAGGCACGGGAGCAATCGTAACAACATTGTTCGTCGTCACAGGGCGGAGGCGGGAGGCCGTAAAGAGGGGTGTTAAATAAGTTCAGTGGTAAATCCAGTGGGGGGAAAAGGACAGTAGGAAAGAATGTAATAAGGAGAAAGCGTAGAGGTAAAAGAATTATAATTTAGGGGTTCGTGTCACCGGGACATCAGGGTATCGAATATATGCCCTTCACGGGAACAGGAATTCCTATGTTATATAACTAGCGGGCCAATGTTTTTGATTGATGAGGATAAGGAAGTAGATTGGGAAATGAGTGTGGATGGATGGACTTTCAACGCATCGACGACTGCGTTTTCTTGATTCTCCGCAAATAGTCAGAATTAAATTAGGAAATTATAGGAAACTGGAATTATACAGCATATAGAGCGCAGCCTGTATTCTTAGCGAGTGTTGGAAGCTGAGGATAACAGCGAGTGTTTATGATGTTGATGTTCAATCTGTCCACTTCCGCTTGCGAGCCGCGCCCAATAGTTGAGCAACAGAGTCATGTGATTGCTTGTGCTAAAGCACAAGAAATGTTAACTTAGTTAACTTAATGTAACTAACTAGTTAACTAACTAGTTAACCAACTCTCACAACCAAGTAGCTCAGCCATTTGAAATCACTATAAAAATAAATAAAAAGATTTCAACATGAATTATCTACAGTCAATCACACCTAATTAAATTAAAATAAATTACGCTAGGATTAGGATATTGTGTACATTTAACAACTATAATAAATAAAATAAATATACTAATATATAAATAGATGTAAGTTTTATTTTTATTTTAAACTTAAACTAAAATAAATATTTTTATAAAATATTTAATTTAATCTTCTATGTAGCTTAATTATTTAAGTTAATATAAGCCTTCATGATAAATTCAATTTTTAAATAATATATAAAGATTAGATTTAATTTAATATATCAACTATTTTAATCACAGTTATTTATATTTTTCAGATTGAATTTTATATACAATAATAATATTTCTTAAAGTTTCAAGTTGATTTAAATAATTTTCTATTTTTATATTTATTTATAATTATAACATTTGAAATAGTAGCTTTATATTTAGTTTAAAACTTAGTTCTTATCAATTTATATAAAATAATTTATAAAATCATATAATAAAAATAATTAATTATATTTTTAATAAATATTACTAAGAAGATAATTTTATTTATTGAGATTTAAAATCTATTGAACTAGCTAATTTTTTCATTCTCAATTAATTTTGTATGAATTTTGCATGTTGAGAAGCTTTTGAAAACTATCGCTTTAGTTAAAAATATAAAATAAAATATGAAATGTTATATAAAATTATAGCTTCATAAAGAGAGATCAATTCCTCATTTTCAATATCAGATATTGTAATTTCAAGTCTTCTCTCAATCTCTACAGAATTTGTTGCATACTCTACTGTTTATTGATGGCATTCTCATATGTTATAGTGAATAAGTTAGGCAGTTTAAGATTTTTGAATTTGTCGAGCGGCTCAGTTGGTGGATTAACTAAGTTGTTAAACCAACTAGTTAATTATTTCCTGCGCCAACCAATCACAGCCCGGGACTGGCCTCTCCGCCTCCGAAAGTCTTCAAAGGGACAGAAAAAAAATAATCAAATATCAACCACCGCATACAGCAGCAGGCAGACAGAACAGACAGACAAAACAAACGGACATCAGTTCTTAAAACGGCCTCACCTACTTCAATTCAAACCTCCTTACCTCCATCGTCCGCATCCACATCCTCCACCCCGTCAAATTCCAGAGCAAGAAAAAGATGTCCATAACAAACCCCTTCTCCCAGACGGGTTCCGCCCCACAAACCTCCGCCGAAATGAAATCCGCCATAATGACCCAAGTCCAACAAGAAACAGCCATGAGCAATGCTCGTGCCCTTATAAATGTACGTGCGCACCTTCTGCTCCCCTCCTCTTCTCCTCCCCTTTCGTCCCCCCCACATCAGAAAAGCGCTCCCAAATTAACCAACCATATCAGAAAGTAAACGAAAACTGCTTCGAAAAATGCATCCCATCCCCCGGCTCCAGCCTCTCTTCCAAGGAACAATCCTGCCTCACCTCCTGCATGGAAAAGTACATACAGATGTGGAACGCCACGAGCCGTGCATACATAGCGCGCATAGGCCAGGAGCAGAAGGCGGCTGGTCTGGGTGGTAGTGGTGGTGGAGTATTTTAAAAATAAATAAAAAAATAAAAAAAATAAAAAAAAAAATGAAACGTTTGTAATGTGAACGATGGGGGTGGGTTGGGCGTGCGAGGTGAAAGGGATCGATGCGGACAGAAGCTCCAGGGAGGATTGAATCAGGCAAAGAAGAAAGCAGCAGGAAAGACTAGGTTGGCGTGTTGTTTGATGGAACGGTCCAAGGGAAAAGGGTGTGGGAGAGTGTCTTTGTATGATTTGTATGATTATTCGACAAATGCCGTCTACCTGTATGGCTCGGTGTGTCAAGGCCGAGCTTTGAACTGGACCTAATCTACCCGCTTCAATTTTCCCGCTGTTGTTGGTTTTTGGGATGGAAAGGATAGAACATAACTACGAGTCTATACGGATTTCTATATCCCCTTGCTTTTTTCCCTTTTTCACGCGCCCGCTCCCTTTAATCTCCTACTGGGAGGTCTTGTTTTCATCTCCTTGTATTTATAGTTAATGCTTTTCCAGTCCTATTTCCATTTTTCCTATCCTGCCCCTTTTCTTGAAAAATGGGAGCGGGGAATCACGCGAAGGAATGGCTTCTATCATCCATGACAAAACTTAGGATACCATGTATGAATTGAGAAATTAAGGAACGGATATGACACACTCCTTTTCTTTCTTTTAAGTTGGGCTATAAAATCTATTCACGACGACTATGTAGGATCCAGGCATAAACGACGTACGAGGAACGAGAAAAGAAAGACAAAAATGACAAGATGAAATTTACATGACCATATGGAAACAAAACGTTTATCTTCTCTTTTCACAGCATTTTCATTTCCCATTATATCAACGCACTGATTTTATGTAACGGATCGCCATAGCAAGCCATTCCATCGACCAAATAGATACTTTGAGAAAAACATGTCATCCCAACCAAGAGTCCAATAATATTAAACACTCCCCCAATGAGCGAGAAAGAAAAGAAGAGAAGAAAGATTAAGTACTAAAATAGAAATCCGTATATGATAGTTAGAGAACTCAAAACAAGTATGGAGTAGCAAGGACAATATAAATAAACCCTTTCACAGACCCCGCTGTTATTCTCAGGTATAACCGTCCCAAGGAGCAAGTAAGAGTTAAACGATGAAAACGAGGGCCCAAATGAAATGGGAGGCCCAAAATGCTAGAAGATACAGGCCAAGGCCGTATATTTTCCCAGAGTAGAAGAAGAGATCCCGCTAATACGGATGGAAATGCATACATTTATCTTGAAGAGAGAGAATTGGATAAAAACATCACTTCCCCTCCCTTTTTTTCCTTTTCAGTTTATTTTTTCCTGACCTTTTTTAGAATGGAAAAAGAAATATAAAACGGCGCATGATTGGTCATATAAAAATGCTCCGTTTAGATATTAGCACAGGCCGGTAGATATATAGAAATACCTAGAGAGCGCAGTCGACGGGTCTTCACAAATTATCCTCATTCAAAAGTCCACGAAATAATTTCCATACCTATAACATCATTAGTAAAGCTTCGTAGTTGAAACAAACGAGAGGAAAAGCAAGAAAGGGGAAACATACGGATCATCCCCACTGCCCCCATACGGCTCCGTCTCCTCGGGATACCTATCAAACTGGCTTGCATCCCCCTGCCCTCCCTTCACCGGCGGAATATACGGCGCATCAATATCCTTCCGCGCTAGCCGATCCCACGTCACCTCCGCAAACCACGGATGATTCTTAACATCCTGACTGCCGCCGTGCAAGTTTCCCAGGCGAACTGTGAGATCGGGAGTGATGAGTTGGGAGAGTAGATCTTGGGCGTCCGGGTGCATGTAGGACGGGTACTTGACTCGGCATTTTATGATGTTTTCGTAGATTTTCATGGGGCTGCCGCCGTCCCAGAAGGGGGTGAAGCCGCAGAGCATTTCGAAGATTAGGATGCCGAGGGACCACCTTTCGGTTGATTATGGGGTGGAGTGGTTAGTGATGGGTAATGCGGTGGAACAATACGAAAAATGAAAAAAAGAGGGGAGGTCGCTTACCAGTCAACGGACATATTGTATCCCTTTGACGAAACTACCTCCGGCGCCAGATAATCTGGTGTCCCGCATAAAGTCCATGTAATATCCTTGACTTCCTTCGCGAATCCAAAATCTGTAATCTTCAAATGTCCATATCGATCTAAAAGTAGATTCTCTGGCTTTAGGTCTCTGTATACAATGTGATGGTCATGTAGATATTCCAACGCCAACGTAACCTCCGCAGCGTAGAATTTCGCAACAGGATTTGGGAAGCGCTGAGAAACCGATATCAATTAGTTATTTTAAAAAAAAAAAAAAAAAAAAAAAAAAAAAAAAAAAACCTTTAGATAGAACAAGCCGAAGGGGAAAGGGAAAGGAGTTTCCCCACCTGCGATTTCCTCAGTAAACTAAACAGCTCCCCACCCTCCACAAAATCCATAACCATATAAAGATTCTTCACATCCTGGAACGTGCCCCACAACGTAATTAGGAATGGATGCTTAACCCGCTGCAGCATTTTTCGTTCATCATTCGTATGCTCGACCTGCTTCATCTTCACCACTTGCGCTTTCTTCAGCACCTTGATGGCATAGAAGCGCTGGTTATGTCGTGATTGAACCAGGTGTACTCGCCCGAAACTGCCCGTCCCCAACGTCCGTTGCAACGTAAAGTCATCTAGCGAGTATTTGCCCTTTGTCTGCCGCGAAACTGACGGGACAGATTGTTGAATTTGTTGTTGCTGCTGTTGCTGCTGTTGCTGCTGCTGCTGCTGTTGTTGCTGTTGTTGTTGTTGTTGCTGTGAATGCTGTGAATGCATTTGTTGTGCGGCATGTAGGCCATCGCCAACTCGTTGTGAGGAGGCCGCAACTTCATCGTTGAGGGGTGGATTTATAATGTTTTTAATACTGGCGACATTTTGGGAGTGGTGGGATTGCTGCTGTGGTTGCTGTTGCTGTTGCTGGTGCTGTTTGAAATGAGAGGGATCGCCCGCTATATTCGAGGAAGGGGGGCCGGAAGATTGTAGGGGGTTCATGGGTGCAGAATGTGTGCTGTCAATTTTCGTAATTGCGCCAGCTGTTGTGGAGCCTGTGGGAGGAGAGGAGGCGACTCCCTCTGGTTCAGTCGAGGTAGGAATAGCTGTACGAAAAACGGAGGCAGGAGGATTACTACTGCTACTGATCTTATTGGTGCCGGGGGAGGAAGCGGGGTCTTTGCAAGAGGAATCGCGGGCGGGTGAGGTAAACGCAGGGTGCTGGAGCAGGGTGTTCGTTGTTGATGCTTCTGTTACGGTAGCTGGTGCGGTAGCTGTAGCTGCTGTCGTCTGGGAGAGAGGGCTACTAATATTAATAATAATATTATTATTATTATCGCCAGGAGACGACGAGGTTGACTCCGCTACCGGTGAAGCGGACAGATCCAGGTCCCTCGAGATGCGCGAGTCCTTCGTCCGCTTCTTCTTCTTCTTCAGCAAATTGCCTAGACCCCGCATGGAACGCCAAGACAAGGGACTACGGCAAGGCCTGTGGGTGGATAACGGATCGACAAGAAGAATGAGAGACGTTGTTCGAGGGGTGGATCGATTTTCTTCAAATGATCTATGAACGGCTTTTTGCGTTGGTACGCTCCCGATATCTAACAACAGCCTTGGGGTTCAGGGGTGAGTAAATTCTTGGTTGGGGGCGATGGGGTTAAGGGATCTGTGGGGGGGCCTATTGCTTCGCCGTCTGTGGCAATAATTAATACATAGTCGGAAACAGACGGATCCGAAGTACGGAGGGAGTACTTAATGTGGAGGAGGGTGGGGCAGATACCTGTGAGGTCAATCGAGTGCAGGCATTTGCGTAGACGGGACGAATGGACAGGACCCGAGAGGCATGGGAATGGAGGGTAAGGAATTGGCGATGGCAGAGGGGTTGATTCGTTGATTCTGGTGCCTGGGGAGCAAATTATTATACCACAAAGATTGATGTTTGTTAGTTCTACCGTTCAGAATAGATGACGACCGTAGTTGAGGTAGTAATGAGACGTTGTAGTAAGCAGACGTCGATGATGCTGAGGGCCCGCCGCCACTAGATAGTTATAACAAGTGAGTTAGTTAGATAACTCTGGACGACCTAGGTGCCTGCTCGGAGTATGTGATCCCCGCCCCGAATAGAGGGAACCCGAACTTACATCATAACCTATGAACAATATCTCGCCTTAATATCAGCACTCTCTAACTGGGAGAAGACTATTGATAGAGAAATGGGTTATATGCATCACTCTGCTTTTTGTTCTCACCCTATATATAGCAACGTTAGTTAATCCACTTGCCCAACAAACTCTATTACGCAATGAATTCGTCTACAGCTCTACGAGCAGTGGCATATTTTCAATGGCATCTCAGCAACGCAATATTATTTTCGTATTATATATTAAACCATTAAAAATATAGCTAGAATAGATTATATAAAGATGTGGTTATTTCAGAAGACTGTAGTTGGGTTGAATTTATTCACCTGGAACATGAGAAACTTGTGGTTTGGCAGCAGGAGCACTGCAGGGAGCTGTGGACAGAGATTAATGAAGAATTCCTGATATCTTGCTTTGACGACCTGCGTACAGACCTAACTATGCTTTGGGAAGGTTGCATTGCATCTGTAGAATGGAATTGAAGCGGCAGACACTCATCTCGAAGGATGTTTTACCAATGAGCTCCTGATCTTCTGCTCATGCTTGAAGACGTATAATTCTTATTGGAATGGAATGGGCGCGCTGCCGAATACAGCTCTAGCACTGCCTGCATAACACGAACGAATTCGTTATTAGAGAAAAGAGAGAAATGAGAGTAAAGAGAGGAAAGAGAGAAGGGAGGCAAGTAAGGTGAGAGATGAAACGGTGGGGAAGTATTGTAGTAAGAGTCAAGGTGGAAAAAGGATAGTCCGATAGTTTAGTGGCATTAACTAGGCCGTTCGGCAAGTGTTTAGTTAGGGCATAAGCTCACTAGTTAGCTAACGTATTTCCCAACCGAGCGCAACACCAAAACCATTAGAGCTCAACTCGTTAGATTTTAATTCAAATTATCTCAACACTACAACACTCAATTAAATTAAGTTAAACTACACACAGTTGAGAACATCTTAATCTTGTATGTCTGAGGACATTACAATTGCTGCAGCATTGTGGAGCTTGTCAGTGTGAAGCAGACATAGATAATGAGAACTCATGAAATTGAATAATTGATTGTTTAACAGGTGCTGCAGACTTTACAGATGCTGCAGATAAAACTAAAAGACTTTGAACTTCACTAGTTAAATCTTCTACTTCTTGTTGAATTTGATACCTAGATCTCTTGAATTTTTACTTCTTTATCTCATTCATATTGAATATATTCTGATATTATTTCTTTATAATAATAGTATTGATTATTTCATATTCACAGGTTTTGATAATTTAATCAAAGTTTTTCATAAAATTTTGAGATTGATCTTTTTCTAAGTTTTTTGATTTATTTATCTGCTGATGTAAATATCAGAGGTTATTAAATATTTGAAGTACTTAGAATATGATTAAATTGCTAAAGCTACTATATAAAAGAATAAAAATTCATAGTTAAATATTTAGCTATTAAAAAATATAATCAAATTGAAAAAACACTATTTCAGCTATTTTGAAATTATTTTGAATAGTTTGAGACTTAAAAACTGTAGTACATACTACAAAATAAATATTTAAGAAATTTACTTTTCAAATAATATTAAATTCAATCTATATTCACTACTGAAATAATTCTTATATATTTACTTTAAAGTTGATTATTTATTATTATTATTATTATTATTATTATTATTATTATTATTATTATTATTATTATTATTATTCTTTATTTAAAATATATTCAGTTAGTAACTATAATATCTATTTAACTAAATTAGAATTTAATTATTTAACTAATCTAAGTAATAAAAAGTAATTAATTTATATACTTATAAAGTTTTATTTTAAAATAATATAGCATTTAATAATCTTTTAACAAAAGACATATTTTGTCACAACTTCAATCTAGATGCAGATGAATAGATGTTCAACTGCTAACTAGATAAGCTATTTGAGTAAATACTAAGATAATTTATAAAAAATGAGTTCAGAGAAGACTTTATTTATATAGCTCTTTTTCTTAGTATAGTTACTAGATGATTACCACATTTATATATTATTTATACATAGAGTAATTGCAGAGTTATTTGCTATTGTCTAAGCAGTTATAATTATTGATTGCTCTAATCTATATAATGATTGATTATCTCAACCTATAGTGATTATATTATCAAGAAAATTAAATATAAGCCTGTTTTATATCATCACATTACCCTTTCTTGAAGTCTAGACATACTCTCATACTAGTAGATTATTATCTACTTCATCTGCTAGATAGTCATCCTTTTCTCAAGCTTTTAATCATTTACTTAATTGTTTTATAAACTCTACTTTTATTGAATTTACAGTATAAAATTGTTAAATTAAATATAGTAATTTTTTTAAATTTTGTGCTGAATATCATATTAAATTTTTATCAAATTCTAGTTATTTTACCTGGTATTGAAGCTTCTCATAAGAGACATAACTTGCTAAAATATTCTTAACTTCTTACTTATTTTCTTCTTATATTTTAACTAGTTCTGAGGTTTCATTTAATTGATATAATAAAGAATTATTCACAGCTTTTTATAGCTTATCAAAAGAAAATATTGAAAAAATTTTTATACTATTTAATAGTCTTAGTTTATAATTATTATTAACTTTCTCAATGATTTTAAAAAAGTCTTTATTTTGCTCTATAAGCTTTCTGCTAAGATATTAAATTTGATAATTCTTGAATAATAGAAATATCTTATCTTTTATCTCAAAGTTTGACTTCTGATAGTACTTGTTAATATATAATTTTATAATTTTTTGTATCTTTTTAATATTATCTTCTGTCAGCTTTTAGATTTTTTTCATTTGAATAATATGCTATTGAGCATTTTCTCATTTGAGCTTCTCTTCTTTAAATAATGTCTTCAGCAGTGACTTTTAATCAAAGAACATTTGAGATTTATATTCATAAGTAGTTAGACATCTTCTTATTTAAGCTTCTATTCTCTAAATAGTGTCTTCAGCAGTAACTTTCAATCAAAGAACATTTGAAATTTATATTTATAAGCAGTTAGAAAAAATGTCATCTCAGTTGATTTATTTATCAGAACTTCAGCTGCATGATTCATCATTGATAGTTACTCATCTCAGTTGTCCTGATAGTAATTTATATACAGATGAAGCTTAGTTGCTTGGTATTGATTGATAACTTTAATCTGATCATTTATTTATATGTGATGAGCTGATAAATGCTTCAGCTTCACTTCTAATTATCTGATTAACTCACTTGAGCAGTTTGAGATAAATTGTGACTTATGATCTGATATAATTAAATCTGATATTTTATAATATTCATAGTAGTACTTCAAAAACTATCTTATCAGCTCTTTGACATCTGTCTTCCTTATGATAAAAATAGATATAAACTTTTTATTTAGTCAATAAATAATCATCAATATCACATTTTAATCTCTTTTTGTTATAGAATCATTTATGAAGTTTATTAAAATGTACTATCAGACTCTGCTAAGAATTGATAGCAGCTTCAGTATTTTTGAAGTTTTATCATAAGAGATCTTAATTTGTCAGCACATCAGATAATTGTTCACATATTGATTAACATTTTTAATTCAGTCATTTTAATAGTATTTTATCTTCACTAGTAAATATAACTTTCTTTTCTCAGAATACACTATTAATAACTGCTTATAAATCTTCTATAAAAGATATATTTGAAGAGTAGAATCTTTTTCAATTGATATTACTAAGTGCTTTTTAAAATATAAAAGTTTATTTATTAGCTCTTAGTACTATTCTCTTTATTGTGCTTTCTCACATCATGATTTTAATAATTCTATCTCTTTATTTCTTGTCTTGACTTTATTAAAAATATGTATATCTGTATCTATAATCTTGATCTTAATGAATTCTTTGATAATCTTTGAGTTCAATCTCTATGACTTGAAGAATAGTTATATCTGAGTATTTTTATCATCTTTCTGAACCTTCAACTAACTCATTATATCTATTAATATATTCTAATACCCAGGTTAATACTGAATTAGAAATTAGAATCAGAAGAGAAACTCTGTCTAACACACTTGTCAGATATTAAGATTCTTAATTATCATGAAGTACTTAAAAGTTTAATGATCAATTAAGATTTTAAATCTCTCTATTCTTTAAAAATCTTTTAGTTTGACATATTATTCTGTTAGTGCTCTCACAATTACTAGCATATTCTTATCATGAATTTTATAGTTTTTCTCTACTTTACTCATTGAGACAGAGTAAAAGATAATTGAATGTTACTGCTAATTTTCACATAACTGAGATAGAACATCAGCTATAGCATCATCTAAAGCATTTGTCTTT